TGACTCCACCAGGGTAGCTCAGGATTTGAGGAGCTGGGATGGGCCGTGGCAGTGTCCAGGATTCGTTCTCTGCTGTCCTGTATGTAGATGGGTTGGGGATGTGGCAGTGAGTTGGCCCTGGTGGGCTGCCTCTATCCGCTCACCTCCCTTGCCCGTGCAGCCAAGAGTCCCCTGGCTGAGAGCTGATTCAGCTGTCAGGGGGAGCAGGGCAGGTGTGTGTCAGGCAGAAATATGGGCTCATTGGCACTGTAATAGTTATGACTGTCCCTGCGAGGGGCAGAGCAGCAAGCTGCTTGAAACACTATAAATCCCAGCTCCTGGTGCTGACAGAGGTCCTGCCTGGAGGCAGTAGGGGGAGCATAACTGCTGCTTCCTGTTCTTAGCGGTGTGTGGGGTGCTCAGGTCTGTAGGTCTCATCCTGGCTGTGGCCACTGTGGGCACAGGAGCTGGGCCAGGTCTCAGTGCGCCCACGTTAACTCTTTGGTGGCCACACTGATGCCATGGGTAGTGGCTAAGACCCGTGGCACTCGTGGTCTCAGATCTTATCCTTAGCGGTGTCACCATGACATCCCCAAACAGCAGCAACATAGCAGGGGCACTTGCTACTCCCTGGCCTCCACTGCTTAGTTCAGAGCCTGAGCTTTAAAACCAGCACTGCACTCACCCACTTGACATGAGGCCTGGAGCGTTTCAAGTCTCTGCCTCAGTTTCTTATGCTGAACGGAGGTAAAAATACTGTGGTTGGGTGATTTTGACATTAGCCAGAGACTGACGTTAGGGCCTCCTTTCTCTCTCATGTTTCCTGCCTGCACATTTCCCTGCTCGGGAGATCAGGTTAGAAATGAAGATCATCAAGGGCTCCAGTAACACACCGAAGCTCAGCTACACGGGGCGGGACGACCGGCACTTCGTGCCCACTGGCCTCTACATCGTCAGGACGGTGAATGGTGGGTGATGAGCGATCATTCCCTGACGCTCAGCCGGGGTGACTGGCCCACACCCTGCCTGAGCCAGGCAGCAGACAGGCTGGCACTTCTTTGAGGTGTATGTTGAGGAGGACTATGTCCTTGAACCTCTTCTGTTCTTTGGTGGGTCCTAGGGGTTGGGTGTTGGGGCTGGAGAGACAAGAGCCCAGCTTGTCTACGCACACACGGTGTCCTCCTGGCAGGAAAGGGGCCTTCTTAGTGGGCAGCGGCAGCAGCAGATCCAGAAAGTCAAGTTTGGCCATTTGCATCCCCTGTAGCATCCTTTTTCCTTCGTGCTCTCTGGTTAAGAGTCCTGCTCCCTCAGCCAGGGTCCTAGAGGTGTCGCCCGATAGCAGGCTGGCAGGACTGGGGTAGGGTTGTTGAGAACTATCTTAGTCGTCCTCTGGAGCCTCTTTGGGCTGGTGATGAAGGCTGTGTTCTCACAGGCTCCCTGCCTGCTGTCTGGGTGGGAGAAAGGGGAGTGGAAGAACGGGAGTGGAGGGAGGCATGCCCTACGTTGGCTTGACCTGCCCCTCATGGGTATTTTGTGTCCTTTCTGGGCTTCTCCCCCCTTTCCTCCTATCAGAGCCATGGACCATGGGTTTCAGCAAAAGCTTCAAGAGGAAGTTCTTCTACAACAAGAAAACCAAGACATCTACCTTTGACCTCCCTGCAGACTCCATTGCTCCATTTCAGTAAGTAGCCCTCTTCCAGGCCTGCCCCCTCAGCAGCCCTAGGTACTCACTCCTGCCAGGATGTCAGCCCATCCTCTTGGGGCACACCTGCACCCTGAGACCCTTTGCTGCCCATGCAGGGGCTCCCCACAAGGGGAAATGGAGAGAGTGATGGTGGGACCCAACCCCCAGGACCAGATTGGGGGTCTTGGGAATAAAGGGCCCCACCCTGGCCTGGGTGTGGGAACATGCTGAGGGCCCACAGCCTTGCTCTCGGACCCAGTGTCCATTTGCCAGATTGCTGGCTGTAGGTTTCAACAGCAGCCGGCAGCCCTACTGTGCCTGTAATTAGCCACGGACACTAGTGTGTCACCACACTAATACTGTTCTATTAGAGTAGCAGAGACAGATAAACCAGGAATATCAGTAATTGTAGGGTCCAGTAGGATGCAATTAGCAGCAGCTATGTGTTGGGGAAAGCTGATTCTGGAAGGCAGGGAGGAGCAGGGCCTACTTGGTACATTTTGGCTGCCAGAGGGGAGACCCTCAACTAGAGTCATTGATGAGACTGACTCCTAAGAACAGTTGCCAAGGTGGGTGGTGGTCTCTAGGTCCTGCTCCAGGGGGTGTTGCCCTCTGACCTCCTTTCTCCTCCCCAGCATCTGCTACTCCAGCCGGCTGTTCTGGGAGTGGGGGGATGGCATCCGTGTGCATGACTCCCAGAAGCCCCAGGACCCAGACAAGCTGTCCAAGGAGGCTGTCCTCTCCTTCATCCAGACGCACAGCGCCTGAGGGTCCAGGGGACACCCACCCCTGCCAAATGCCCTGTTACTCCCTGCACCTGGGCCCACATACTGGTTCCTTCTCCCTCTCAGAGGGATGGGAAGCACAGTCACTGCAGCCTGGTCATGAGGGATGGGTGGCCACCTCTGCATTTCCTCTGAAGAGCTCAATAGGGGCCTTCAGAGGACACTCACAAGTTCCTTCTGGGACACTTTTTTGGACTTCGCTCCCCAGAGACCTGCCTGGGAACTGTCTCCCCTGCCTGGACTCAGCCTGAAGGATGCAGCTCCTCCAGCAGGTTTGAGGTCAGAGCCCAGGGCACGTGGGGCCAGTGGAGGACGTGTCAGAGAGATCAGGGCTTTGGCTCTGTTCTCTCCTGTATCCTGTAGACTCACTTTTCTGAGTTCTGTGCACTGCCCTGAGGGCGGCCATGCCCTTGCTTTGCCCAACTTTTTACTGGGCCAACCCTGAGTGGGTGGAAGCCCACCATTGTGAGCTGGCCAGGAGCAGCTGCTGTACAAACCAAGGTTTTATTTCTTTGAACCTGCTCTGTTTTGATGCCAAGTTGGAGATGTGTCTCCTCCCCCTACCCTGTCCTGGTCTTCCCTGGAGTTCTTCCCAGCCTGGACCTCTGACAGTCCCGCAGGCCGGGAAGGGAGGCATGAGGACCCCACTTCAGGATGCAGGTAGTGCTGTCTGGTGGTTGATGTGACTGCTTCCTGGGCCCCACCCCTTTTGATCTGAACTTTGGGCAGCTCTCAAAGGAGAGGAAGCACCCTTGAAGACCTGCATCTTTCTACATGCCAGCAGCAGTGGCCCCACCATGACAAAGGGTACCTCAAGGGTTGGGTTGCACTCAGTCCTCTGCCAGTCATGGCACCCATTTCCCCAGCCACCTTGCTACCCGCCCCCTTTGTTCTTCTTCCCCAATAAGAGATACTGTTGCTTTTGTTTGTCCTTGCGTGGTCACTCCATTTCCTCTGTCTTGGCAGGCAGAAGGGGAAGAGGGGAAGCTGGGCTGTAGCTTTGGGTGGGTGGGTGGGGCACCTGTGGTTGTTTTTAATGGGAAATACCTCTCAGAGATGCTCATATGGGCTCCCTAGGGCCCCATCCCAGTGCTAGACTGGTTTCCATGGAGAAAGGGCACAGAGGCTCCTGAGGTTAGAACTGACTCCACCTCAGGGGTCTCTGGCCCCTCCCCCCACATTGTCAGCAGCACAGCTGAGATGCTGTATTTCCACCCAGTTCTGGGTAAATCAGTGTGTCTTGCAGAATCTTAGCTCATTAAAGATAAACATATTTTTAATACCTGTGTGGCTTTGTACAGGGGCTGCTGCTGTTTGTCCTTGGTGCATTGTGGTCTGGGACTCACTTGGATGAAACAGCTTGGACTGGAGGTGAGGGGGAGGAAGCGCTACTTAAAGAAAAGGGGAGAAAAGACGGTTTGCTTAGTCAGAGCCTTGTCCAAGCTCAGGACTCCCAAGGCTGCTGCTTGCTGCTAGAGAGGGGCCCAAGGAAGAGCTGGGGAATGATGCAGCACCTGGTCAGAGCAGGGATTGGAGAATGAATGATTCTACAGCCCAGCAGGGCAGGGAGGCACCTTCCCCTTTATATAAATCGCACAGCTTACTCCATGTGGCACTGTGACAATCCAGGATCAGTCTGTGTTACTAAAATAACAGAAGCGTCAGACCAATTAGTGCCACTAGACAGGGAAAGAGAGGGAGGGGAGGGACGGTTTCCCTGACCCCGGCCAGCCTTTCCTCCGCTCTACGCCTGGCGCCTCTCTCCCTCTCTGCTCTAGGCTAGCGTCTCTCCAGCAGTCCCATCACTCTGGTGCAGGTTCTCCCCTACAGCCTGGTATCTACGTATTGCTTGGCTCCGTCACCCTGACCCTGACTGTCCTCCCTTAACGTTTCACAGCCTTAGCTCCCAGGGTAACCCCTTTCCATGCTTTTACTAACTTAATTGGTGTGCTCTTGGCTCCCAAGCCCCTCCATCCTTCTGGTTGCCCTCCTGGCCCCTGTGCTGGGAGTAGAGTTGGGGGCTGTGCTCAGGGGCAGCAGATGATGTCTGTGTTTGCCCCCCTGCAAACCCCTCCTGGTTTACTGGCCACTTACCTTAAGTCTGGTCATTACCATGGCTTTTGCTGCTCACTGGCTCTGCCAGGCCTCATCAGCCTTGTCTGCCTCCTAAAGATGGATTAATTCTGCACTCCTGTGGGTCCACCACACGAGCCCTTCAAGTCCCCAGGCTGCCCTTTGCTGCGCAGGCCAGATTTTTTTCTGCCATAGTCACAGGCAGTGTGGCATGGACTAGAGGGCAAGACAGTGTTTGCTAGGGGTGGTGTGGGGTCTGTCTCGGCCCCAGCAGCGCCCAAGCCCTGGAAATGGCTCCCATCACAGTTCTGGCTTAAGAAGTACTTTGTTATCGCCTTCTTCCCCACTTGAGCTGGGGGCTTCCCTTCACAGCCCCTCTTCTCCCTCCCTTCTGAGTTTAGGCCAAGAGCTTATCTTGATTCCTGAGTGCCACCCCACTGCCCCCAGCTGCCATCAGACCATGACATTTACTCAGCACATAGGAGCAGCCAGGGTGTTCTTTATTGCTTTTCCCTTGGCCTAAGCCAGCACAAAGTCCTTCTGGAGTCCCGAGACAGCCCCACAGCAGGACTGGGAGGCAGGAGAGGCTGGGCTGACAGGAAGCCCTGCTCCAGTGTCTGAGTCAGGGGAAATGGCCTTGTACCTTGGTCTTCTTGAGGCTTGACGGGCCTGCTTGTCCATGACCTTGGAGCTGAAGGGAAACCTGCGCCGACTGTGGAGAAATCTCAGGCTTACATGGTCCAGTAGGCATAGACAAGAGTCAGGAGGATGAAGATGGCCACAGAGAGCAGTGTGTTCTTCTGGTTCTCCTGCCGAAGCAACTTTAGCTCCTTCTCTGGGAGGAAACAGGGTGGTAGACAGGTGGTTAGGCTCATCTGCTACTCTCCTCTTCCTCTGGCTCTTCCACAAATAGGTACACATACTCCTAGCCGCTTTCTTATCCATAAAAATGTCCTCCTTGATCTGCCCAGACCCTCACAACCTTTTGGCTACAGATTCTGGCCCAAAAAATTCCAACACCCAATGCTGCTCAGCCATTTCTCGCCAAACGCAGTTGAACACAGAATGTATAAGGAAAGGGTGTCATCAAAGAGGCCACACCTGAAAGTCAAGCTAGGTGGTGGCACGGCATCACCAGGTGAGTCCTCTGGCCTGTCACTGGGTGGGCTCCATGGTGCTCCTCCTTCCAGAGTGTCTCATCTGGCCACCTAGACACTCTGAGGGCAGCTGGGACCTCCTTAGGCCTGACACTGGAGTAGGTACAGGGCCAGGCCACACCACCAGTGTTTCCAGTCCTGCCCTCTGCTGGATGCCCAGCCCAGCAGGGACTAGGATGCTAAGAGGACAGTCCATGCCCACGAGGTAGTCAGGCTCCCCTCCAGAGGGAACAGTCCTACTGTTCTTCTACAGCCACACTGTACCCATCCTCGTGTGACACACTGGTGGCCGGTGTTCTGTGAAGGCTAAACTGGTAATGCTACAATTTTATGTGAACATTGCTAAGTTTGAGGGGTAACTGATGTCCCACCCTTACCTATGTGTGTGTCGTGGGGGGGGGTTACCTACGAACCAGCTCTGGGCAGGCCAGATGGGACCCAGCTAGGGGTATGTGACATGCACTGTGCTTACAGTGTTGATTCAAACTGGTTCCTCTGGGAGGTTGCCTGCCATCTGAACTATTCTATGATTGATTCTTGGCCAGATCTGGACCCTCAGGGTGAAAAAGACAAGTCTGGAGAGCCTCTGCAGACCCTTTTCCTCCCAGGCTGCTGGGGGTGGGTGGGGTGGGCTTACAGATGGGGCCGGGGGGGGGGGAGGTCCTACAACTGCCCTTCAGCTCCACGTCCTCCCAGGGCTTTACCTGGCTCTGCCCCGAACACCCAGAAGGTGGCAGCATTGTCCCACCCACAGTAGTCCTTCACAGCACCCAAGTGGGAGGTTCAGCCTCCACCCTGGATCCCACTACTCCCATCACTCCCACTCCAGGGTCTTCCTGGGAGGGAGTGGAGGTCTGGGAGGAGGGGGCAGGGAGGGCAGACCTTCCAAGTCAGGGTGGATGTGAGGATCTCTTCTGGACCTGGCTACATCCATCCCCCTTTGTCCCACAGAGGAAGAACAGACCCATGGGCCTCTGCGTCTACCTGAAACAGAGGGACAAAACTGATTTTCTTCCAGGCTGCTGAGCCTGCAGTGGGTTCCAGCAACTTTCTGGGGGCTGGCTCCCTCCTGAAGAATCCCCTTGACCCTCATCACTGTGGGCTCCCTGGGCTGTCTGCCCTCTCCTGACCCTGGGACTGGAGGACGGGGCTGGTAATGGGAGGGGACTTTCTTACCATAGTTGGAGGCTTTGTTCATCAGGCTGTTTTTCTCCTTCTCCAGAGACCTCCTGTGAGGGGGGAGGGGGTCAAAATGGCTCAAGCCCTTTTCCTTCTTCCCACCTAAGAGGCAGCTGGCACACCTGGGCAGGGTGGACAGATGGAACAAGGGCCCAGGTCTCTGGTGGCAGGGGGTATGGGGGGATGGAAGTCGAAGGCTAGGGCCCCAGGACAGATATGAGGAGTCAGGGCACAGGGGCGGAGCGGGGGGGAGCATTACCTGGCCTCTGGGCTCAGCTCCGCCCCATAGAGCCTGGAGTTGACAGCCTCCAGGTCTCTCCGACACTGTGACAGCTTCTCTTCCAACCCATCAATCTGAAAGACACAGAGATGGGGAGCAGAGTCTTTCAATTTTCAAAACAGCTGGGATCCTGGGATAGGGAGGAGGGAGCCTCTAGGATTCTTTTTGGACTGCATCTCCACCCCAGTATCTATGCTTTGCTGTCTTCTATCTCCACGGGGTGCAGCCCGAGCCCCAGTGGAAACAGCTGTGGTTGCCAGGGTCTCAACGCTGCCTTGACCCCACTGGGCCAAACATGGGTTGGAGGCAGGTAGGAGTGGCCCCTCATCAGCTGTCGCCCCAGCGCACGCCCCAGCTGGGCCCCACAGCAGGAGCAACTAGAGCCCTGAATGTGGCAGGTGTCTGCCACACAGGCGTGTCCTAGAGTGAAATGAGATGATGCAAGAAGGCGTTGCCTTTCCAAAGCACTCCTCATACGATCAGACAGCAAGGGGCCAAAAAGCAGAGCCATTTCTTCACATTGGTACACTTAATTTTAAAGTAATCTAAGTTGTAATAATATACATTTTTCCATGAGATTCAATAAAAATTCCTGAAAACAAGGCTCAGAGACACTTTATTTCTTTCTGATTTGGTTCTTATGCAAAAGCATTGACCATCATCAAGCTAGCTGTAACTTGTGGAGCAAAACAGCAAAGCTCCTGAAAGGCTGGATGCCAAAGGTATCAGTTCTCCCATTTGTTTTGATTATAGTTTCAGAGGTGTGTTCTTGGGGAAATAATCTGAGTTGTGGGGAAATGACTTATAAAATACTGGACTGGATTGCCCAAGGTCCTGACATCACACATTTGGCTTTGGAAGTTCATCTGTCTCCAGGTGTCTGTCCAATCAGCCGCCTCCCTGGGCCTGGGGCCTGCTCTTCCTGCACCGCCGCCCTGCTGGTGGGAGCCTAGATTTCAGTGGATGGGAGCTCAGTGGCCCTGCGTCCCTCACAGCAGCAGACTGAACAGTGCCTTGTGTCCCGCTAATACCTGATTTTCCATTTGACTTCACTCATTCTCACCACATCCCTGGGAGAGATAGCAAATATAACTTCTGTTTCACAAATGCGGAGAATGGGCACTCAAATGGAATGACTTTTCTGAGGACTCAGAGTGGAACACCCCTCCCCTTATCAGTCTCAGGCAGTTCCATGCTCCTGTCCTTTCTGGAGTGGCCCCTGTGCAGATGATCAACAACTGCCAAGTATGAATCCCTGAATCCCAGGCAGGTGTTCTGGGGCCAGTGTCAGAGTTGCCCCTGAAGACTCTCCCTGGCCAGTACCCATCCTGGACATTTCTGGGTCAGCCACTTTCCCTTGTTCCAACACCCAGCTCAAACTACACACCATCTACCCCCTTTCCTGCAGCCCCAGCCTACTGCAACTCCAGCTCTGGAAGCAGGGCCCTGTGGGAGGGAGCAACTGCAGAGCCTTGAGTTAACTGCCTGGTTGTGTCATTTCCCTGCTAATGGGTACCAAAGGGAGGGCTGTCCTGGGAAACAGCCCCAGCCAAGGGATGGGGCCTGTGCCTGGGGAAGCCAAAGGCCATCTAGGAACCTGCGCTGCCGGGAAATGAGCACTGGGAGGCCACGCTCAGGGAACAGCAGCCGCCTGATGTGACGGTTAGTGGAGCCTCGGGCTGCCATGAGGCTTACCCTTCACAGCAGTGCCCCCAACACACACAGCCCAGTCCCTCAGGACCCCGAGACATGCTGTTTCCATTTCCTGGTGTAGAAACCACAATCGGCACCAAATTCCACGCTGGGTCCCACACAAAGCTTAATTCCTGAGGCTCTATCTCCTCCATGAGGCCTTCTCTGCTGTCCTTGGCCAGAAGGTACTGCCTCCTTCTGGCCAATTAACCAGTCCTTCTCTCATGAAGCTGCGGACATACTATATCATCCAGTTATGTGTCCCAACCTCATCTTGCCAAACTCTGGGAGTCCCAGAGGCAGATGATGTAAACCTGAAGCCCAAGGGTCTCAAGTCTAGCCCAGACTGGCCCATTCCACTTGTGCACGTGACTGCCTGGCCTCTAAGGATGCCTTTGTAGCTCCCGTCCTAGAAGGCTAGTGGCCATCTGTCTCCCCTTTGTGGCCACCACAAGGCCTGGTCTGCTGTAATTGCTGTTTGTAGCCATGGAGGAATAAGTAGGGCTGAGCATAGGTGGGGCTAAGGGGCTAGGCCTCATATGAAACCTTCCCCTCATGCCCACAGAAGCTGGAGGAAGGTAGGAGAAGCAGTTACACAGAAGCACATGGATTATGTACTTCGTAGATTACCCAATGCCAGTGTTACTCCTAGGTCAGCCAGATTTCTCCTTGCCGCCCCTTGGGCCAGGCCCTGGCTTGCATGTCATTCTGGGGAGGAAGTTCGGGGATTTCCATCCCTAAACAGCTTTAGAAGGCTACCAAGGACCCAAACAAGGGATAATTGGCCCAGAGCGAGGCCAGGAACTCATGCTAAGCAAAATCTTTAAATTGAGGTTGGCAGACCACAGGTGGCCGAGCTAGTCTGCCGTTGTGCTCTGGGCAGGGCCTGTGGAGCTGGCAGCTGGAGGCCTTTATCTGAACAAGGCCAATTTAACTATAGTTCCACAAATACCCCACTTTCACTTACCACTTTTTAATGAGCTTATAATAGACTAACACAAATCAAGGTTTTAGGAACTCAAGTTCTAACCTCCCTCTATGAATATTTATGTCCTGCTGAAGCCCTGATTCCCTTCTAAATAGCGAGTTCTCCTTTATAACCCAGCTGCTCGATGTGGGCTGAGTGAGAGGAGCCTGGGACTGTTTGGAGGCTTTTCAGTAGGCCACCAGCCCATCCTCAGACAGTGATCCCACTGCCAGTCAAACACCCTGCAGCATCTGCTGAAGCACAAGCCAGTTGTCAAGCAGCTATAATAATGGGTGAGAAGATGCTGATGACCTGATTGCAGAGAAGGCAGGGAGAGAGGGTCAGGATGCATCTTTTAGTTGTGGCTGGAGTGAGGAGTTGTGTCTACAGAGCAGAGCTGGCCCAGAAAGATGGTAACCAAGAAATAAGGGAGAGGACCCAGAAAGTGGGGCTTAAAGGAAGCCCCTAGTTGGCGTATCAGTCAACTCTCAGTGACATGCACATGGACTATGCACTCTGCAGGTTCCCGAAACAAATCTATAGTTTTTTGTTAGCTTTCTCTCTGCCACTAGGCTGAAGGCAACACAGGACAAGACAGCCAGGACGAGAAGACATGGGTTAGGACAGAATGAGACAAATGTCCAGAAGATTTTGTAATAACAGTCAAAGCTGGGCAAGCAGTTGGGAAGCCTAAGTTCCTGGAAGCCTAAAATTGTAGTTCCTGAAAAGTGTGGTAACAAGGAGTCTGGGCTATACTCTTGCCACGTGTGAGGTGACTTCCTTAATTTGGTGCCTCAGTTTATTCATGTATAAAACAAAGACAATGTTTCACGTTTCAATAAGTTGCG